TATTGTGGGTTAAAATTCTTTGTCTACGAAACACGTGGTCGTCTAGGAGCGTTAAATTGTCTGGCTGAAATGTGAAGGCTCCAGAAATCCTAGCCATTCGTTGCAGTTCTTCTCCGCGATTTCAGAAAATTTTCGTTGCACAAAAAAAATGTCTCAGCGACTGGTCGGCGCCTCTTTTTTTTTATCAAGATGTAGGCTTGTCTTTTAATTTTCCTTTTTACTTCCCGATAGCATTAGCGATACACGACTTAGTAAATAGTTTACTCGAGCGTTTAGATTGTAGTTTTACCTGGGATGATTGTATGCCTTAAATTAAAGCATAGAAAAATTGTATGAAGAGTAAATAAAAACAGATTGTATAACATAAATTATTGACTTTATTCCATTATCCTTATTCTTCAAAGTATTTAACTCCCCAGTCTTCAAAAGGGCCTGTTGCAGAATGTATTTTCATTGCGAATAAGAAATGCAAATCAAAAATATCAAATGCCCAGGGAGCCTTTATACATCCCTCGTACCACAACCAGGCCATCCTTTCCCTTTTTTCGATTCTTCGCATAAGCACATCACGCACCGTTTTCCAATATTCTTTTCCTGTCTCGAGAGGGCCATGTTTATTGCATCTTGCGGTTCTCTTCATGATGAAAGTTTATCTTTATTCACTCTGCAGACAGTTTTACAAAGCGTTTACAAACCTAATTTATTTTTTGACACATATCTTAAAGTCAATCTTAAATTTTACTTAGGTAACTACCCTTACTATTGTGGGTTAAAATTCTTTGTCTACGAAACACGTGGTCGTCTAGGAGCGTTAAATTGTCTGGCTGAAATGTGAAGGCTCCAGAAATCCTAGCCATTCGTTGCAGTTCTTCTCCGCGATTTCAGAAAATTTTCGTTGCACAAAAAAAATGTCTCAGCGACTGGTCGGCGCCTCTTTTTTTTTATCAAGATGTAGGCTTGTCTTTTAATTTTCCTTTTTACTTCCCGATATATCGTTTTGTCTGATAGTTTTACTGCTACCGCTTAGTTTTCGTACAGAAAAATTTCCACTTCCCATTTTTGAAAAATTTCAGTCGTAAAACTTTTGAGGCGTCGAGTTTGAAACGAAAAAATTTCTTTCGCTAAATTTTTGGGGGCGTCGAGTTTAAAATGAAAAAATTTCATTCGCTAAACTTTTCGGACGTCGAGTTTGAAACGAAAAAATTTTAACCGTAATACTTTTGGGACTCACCCCCACCCCTACTTAACCACGCCCCCAGGTCTCGCTATAGCGGATCTATTACTACTTACTACGATTTGGGACAACAGAAACTAATGAAATAGTAGTAACAAAATCTATCAATCATAATTATTCTTTATTACAATTCCTTTCTATGAATGTTTGTTTCTCTAAACATTATCTCATTTTTCTCGAAAAATAATAGTTTTTAGGATATAAAAGATGTAGTTTTTTACAAGCTACAATTTTTACTTAAACCTTTTTTCTCTAAAATCAATATTTATTGAAAAAACATCAAAAAACTATTTTTTTTCTTGAAAAATGACCTTTTTTTAAATTAATTTTCAGGTATTTTCACTATTATATTCGTCATAAGCACGTCAAAGTACATGAGAATACAAAAAACCATACTGTTCGGAGATATGCGGTTTTCGGAACTACAGCCAAATTATTATTTTAAAGAATTACATTCTTCTATTTCCTATCTCTTGACAAAATATTGATAGTACTACATTGTTATATATGATAAGCAAGTGTGATATATTCTAATTAAGTGTAGCAAAATTCTTAAATTCAAGAATAATGTACGAAAGCGAAAGACACGTAATAACAACCATAGTAATATTATAGACCAGAAATTACTTCACTTCTTTTAGACGTTATTTGAACTGCAGATAGTCTTTAATTCAAAATCGAATTTATTTCTCTTTTTTACAAAATGAAGAATGCGAGAGCATTAATGTTTTTAACCAAACAATAAAAAGTCAAGAATAACAATGTTAAAACCTTCCTCACGTTTCACATTATTGATATATCGCTATGCCTTATTGTAAATTATTTTAATAGATGTATTATTATAGCAGACTTACCGTAATGTTGTATAATGTATTTGCAAAGGCAATAAATCGATATCAAAACATTGCGACGTATCTTTTTCTACAATTATGAAAAATTAGGTAAGCAATACAACATAACTTTCTAATCCTTTATCATAGGTAACTACTTTTTTAAGCAATACATTTATGTTTAATTTATGAAACTATCTACGAACTTCGTTTTTCGCTTAAGAACACTTTTCTATTCAGGTTATTATATTGAATATTGTGTGATATATTGTCAGATTAACAGAAATATTCTTATTTGGTAGTATAATAACGGCATATAATACATGTCGAAATTCTAAACCAAATCTTATTAACTTTAGAATATTTTTCAGTACAGCTATACAGTGAAACAATTGCTACAAAGGATTCACATCAGCCTGCTACGCATTCTAGGGTTGAAATATGTATATAATATGTTTTCTTTTCGTAATTAATAGCTCTCTACACACAAACATCGTGCTACGCAATAGCAATTCGATACAACTTTTTAAAGCATATAATTGATAACATTCTGTATGGCTTTATCGAATGTAAATACTCCAATTCTGAAATGTTTTAGAAATAACAGCAAGTGTTACGAGAAACAATCTATGATAATCGATTAAATACACTAACAGATACTCATTATTCAACTGGGCCATCTTCTAATAGGAAGCAAATATTTTGATGTCAGGCAACTGTTTCTTGTTAAGCAATAATCTTTCTTAAGTGTGCACTTTCACAGTATGTGTCTTTTTTATCCCTTAAACTCGACAAAGATGCAAGAACTTTCAATTACTATTATAATTATAACGTTAATATGAAAATTCATTCTATTAAAGCTGATTGTATCTGCATATTTAATATATTTCAAAAATCATAAGAAGAGATTAAATGGAAACTATAACATCGATAGAAACATTAGAAATCGTCGCAAAAAACACCTTTTAATAGTAATTTCTGTGTAATAAATCTATTTCGCAATATTCACAATGTTATTATTTTTGATTGCATATTAATTTCTGTTACTAGTAATGTGAACGTGCACTGTAAGCACCTAATCTTATTATTCATAACAATCAATGTTATAAGCATTCGTTTCTCTCTGTATTTTGTTTATTTTTGGCTTTCGTTCAAATAAATAAACGTTTTCAGTATTTAAGTAAATTAGCCATTCATAATAGACAGCAGACAGAAAGTAAAGTACATGTGATTTTCCAATAATTTCTAAAAAAAAAAAAACATTGTTATATTGGATGAAGTTTTACTTTAACTGTGTTTCACATCTGCAGAAATAGTACCTAAACATTAAATTGATGGTAACTACAACACTTCTTGCTAATGACTTCTATAAGAACAACTTCAAAATTCCCACGAAGTATATGTTGCCGTCCATGGTGTAACAACTGTCCAAGAGGGAAATTGTACTAAAAATTGCTTAAATCTTAAAGACCGTTGATTTTCTCCATGCAAAAAGTGTCCAGCCAAAGCAATTGTTATAATTGGACCTCTATGATTGGATGGAACCTGAAAAAATATAATGCAAAAATCGTCTAATTCGTGTCATGTAAATGTTTCAATTTCACTTTCACCATTACTTAATTCAATGGCTACAATTGAATATATGAATAAACAATCATTATCATTTATCCAAATAGAATTGTACATAATTTTTTAAGAATCACAATTATTTATACATATAATTTATATAATTTATAATCAATACTATTTTGGTGCAAAAATACTGTTTTTGTTTATCCTCGCAAAAATATAGTTCTAATACTGCTATTAAAAACTAGTTTCTAGTTGTTCCATATAGCGTCGCTCGATGCTTGTTATTTGTAAGAGGTAATTTTACAAAGGATGCTGACTAGAACTGTTTGAATATCTATATCAATGTTTCAAGATACAGCAGGACGCCGATTAAATGGGTTAATAAGTGACAGAGGTGGTTCGGATAATTGAAAATTCAGTTCATTGGATTAAGGAAAAAGAAGACATTCTTATTCATGAAAAACACCATTTTAATACTGTTATAATAATAAGAACCTTAAAAACTTTTAAAAGAAATAAAACATGAAGAATGATAAATTAACGGTTTCAAAACACATAAATGCAGAGAGGCTTAAATGATCCCTTCCAAGGCAACAATGTGTGAACAAAACGGGGGACAGTCCAATTGCATGCCACTATTGGAAAATAGGACAATGTCAGTAGCATACGTTCCCCCATATTTCAACAAAAGCATATCTTGACGAATTTTGTGGGGGCTTTAATGCGTCCCATAATTAACTTTGCCCTTTGTTGTTTTTTTATATACACTACCGTGGAAAAGTCTTCATAGAAGGATTTATTAATTTGGAATAATTGAAGAAAACAAACGTTTGAGGTATTTTTGTGTCGTATTGGGCTCAGAAGAGGGGGGACATATGTTGTTCTGTAGAAAAATTTTAAATACAATTTAGTTTTATGCTTTCCAAGAAAAACGCTCGCAAAAGAGTTTGAATGCAGTTATAGGTCTTGTCCAGAAACTTTCCAACAGCAGTGTACATGTACATACCTAAAATGAATTTTTTATTTAGCATATATCATAAGCATAACTTAATAAAAACTGAATGCAAAAAAGTAATGTTCTTTTCATTTATACATCATTAATGATGAACTAATAGGAAAATTATTTATTTGAAATTTACAAGAGCTCAGTTCCCGTATAACAGTTACGGCACTCATGGCTGGACCAACGTTCAAATTACACCTCTGCGAAAGCATCAATGAGCTCCCCGTCAATAATTCAACTTAAAATGAAAGAAAAATCGTTGCTTTGAAAGGGTTAAAGCCAAACTCGCATTTCTGAGTTGTGCGATTCGGTTTATTCGTAATTCGAATAATTGATGTTCTGCTATTTCTGGAACTATAATCCTGTGCTCACAAGATATTAAATAAGGATATTTAGATACATCAGGCAACTATTTAAGATAAAAAGACATTGGAGATGATGATAAGTAATATTTGAGCATACGGAACAATGATTTGAACTATTTAAACATAAGGAAAGATGCTTTGAATAGTTAAAAAAGCTAAACATAGAAAACAGTAATGAGAATTACTATAAAACCATAAGAAGTGATGATCCGAAATACCTTAACATTTGGAACGATAGTCAGAACAATGAAACAAATAATTCAAAACACTTGCGTAACAGAATCAATGGTATAAGATACTTGGACGTTAGAATGATGGACTGAAATATTTTATATTTTTGGAAATTTTTTGCCGTTATGATATGCCGCAAGAAACCATCGAAAGCTGTTATCATTTGTAAACGATCCTTATTACTGTCCGAAACCTTTCACGCTGTCAAAATTTTGGATAGTTATTAGTAGTATAAGTATGGGAGTTCTGGACCAGGAGACCTGTAATCGACATATACCGACACTCCAGAACCTTCAAAGGTGGGTGTCCGTGCTAAGTTGCCGTCGTGAGCTCTACGATTTCCGGAAGTGACGTCACCGAAACCCTCGATTCCAAGAATTTTCGCTCGATTCCGGGAATTTTGCGCAGGGGACAGTCCAATTGCATGCCACTATTGGAAAATAGGACAATGTCAGTAGCATACGTTCCCCCATATTTCAACAAAAGCATATCTTGACGAATTTTGTGGGGGCTTTAATGCGTCCCATAATTAACTTTGCCCTTTGTTGTTTTTTTATATACACTACCGTGGAAAAGTCTTCATAGAAGGATTTATTAATTTGGAATAATTGAAGAAAACAAACGTTTGAGGTATTTTTGTGTCGTATTGGGCTCAGAAGAGGGGGGACATATGTTGTTCTGTAGAAAAATTTTAAATACAATTTAGTTTTATGCTTTCCAAGAAAAACGCTCGCAAAAGAGTTTGAATGCAGTTATAGGTCTTGTCCAGAAACTTTCCAACAGCAGTGTACATGTACATACCTAAAATGAATTTTTTATTTAGCATATATCATAAGCATAACTTAATAAAAACTGAATGCAAAAAAGTAATGTTCTTTTCATTTATACATCATTAATGATGAACTAATAGGAAAATTATTTATTTGAAATTTACAAGAGCTCAGTTCCCGTATAACAGTTACGGCACTCATGGCTGGACCAACGTTCAAATTACACCTCTGCGAAAGCATCAATGAGCTCCCCGTCAATAATTCAACTTAAAATGAAAGAAAAATCGTTGCTTTGAAAGGGTTAAAGCCAAACTCGCATTTCTGAGTTGTGCGATTCGGTTTATTCGTAATTCGAATAATTGATGTTCTGCTATTTCTGGAACTATAATCCTGTGCTCACAAGATATTAAATAAGGATATTTAGATACATCAGGCAACTATTTAAGATAAAAAGACATTGGAGATGATGATAAGTAATATTTGAGCATACGGAACAATGATTTGAACTATTTAAACATAAGGAAAGATGCTTTGAATAGTTAAAAAAGCTAAACATAGAAAACAGTAATGAGAATTACTATAAAACCATAAGAAGTGATGATCCGAAATACCTTAACATTTGGAACGATAGTCAGAACAATGAAACAAATAATTCAAAACACTTGCGTAACAGAATCAATGGTATAAGATACTTGGACGTTAGAATGATGGACTGAAATATTTTATATTTTTGGAAATTTTTTGCCGTTATGATATGCCGCAAGAAACCATCGAAAGCTGTTATCATTTGTAAACGATCCTTATTACTGTCCGAAACCTTTCACGCTGTCAAAATTTTGGATAGTTATTAGTAGTATAAGTATGGGAGTTCTGGACCAGGAGACCTGTAATCGACATATACCGACACTCCAGAACCTTCAAAGGTGGGTGTCCGTGCTAAGTTGCCGTCGTGAGCTCTACGATTTCCGGAAGTGACGTCACCGAAACCCTCGATTCCAAGAATTTTCGCTCGATTCCGGGAATTTTGCGCACGATTCCGGGAATTACGCACGATCGAGAACCTTCTAGAACATTCTAGAACCTTCTAGAACATTCTGGAAGCTTTTACGGTTCGTGTCCATGCTAAGTCGGGAAGGTTCGCTCCCAGAGCCGGCGGTCCTCTCGCGCGACGTTTTGAGACAGCCCCTTGCCCCCCACCCCGGAAAGCCTTCCAGAAGCTTCGACGGACTCGTGCACGTTCGTGCAGGTCTCGGACGTCAGCCCTCAGCCCGTTTGACCTCGAACGTTATCTCGCAGAGTTGCGCAGCATCGCTGATGCAATCCTCCAGGAATTTTCCAGAACTTTTGTCCCTAACTTCATAGCGCAGACTAGTGCGTAGCATCGGCGAATCAGAGAGAGAGAGACGAGCGACATCCCCTTTGAGCGCAGTGCCGAAAAGCGGTTTCGGCGACTTTTGCGTCGAGGTTGATTCCAGGAAAAACGATACCCTTCCCATGCAGATTTCGGACGGCAGGCGATTTGACCTCGAACGTTATCTCGCAGTGGTCGCGCGTCAGCCTCCTCATCCCACTGAGAATCCCCCATCCCCCGATTCGTTAGCTTCCTCATCCCACTGAGAAGCTTCGCGAATTCCCCATCCCACGATTCGTCAGCTTCCTCATCCCACTGGGAAGCTTCGCGAATTCCCTATCCCCCAGCCTCGTGCGAGAGCACCGTCGAGTTCAAAGTCATCCATGTATCGGTTGTTCTAATGCGCAATACCGAACGTTATCTCGCAGAATCGTGCGTCGAGAATGCGGACTCTCATCTCCCCGAGGTGTCAAATTATTCGTAAGCGCGCGCGACGCAACTTCGTCGTCGTCGGAGGGCTAAGGAATATTCCGGAAGATGCATGAACCTTGACATCGAATCTCTGTAGGCGATTCGATTCCTAGAAATCTGCGAAACCTCCCATCTCCATTTTTTAACCCTTGAAAGTTTCCTAAAGACTGTCACAAAAAATCTGAGGTATAGGGTTCCAATGACATGAATAATTATCCATACAGGTTTATTCGAAATTTTATTGATTACAGCAGTATGTATTTGAGCGAATAAGGGTGACTTGTTATCTGGTTGCTCGATTTCCTCTTTCAGATCTTCCTGTTTGACCTTGATGCGAGGTTGTATTGCCAGAAGAGTCTCCCGCAGCGTTATCACGATTTGATCGTGCAGAATTTTCATTCATTCCGAATAATGTGTGTTGTTATCGAAAGTGATACGATCGCGTCTTTCAGGTAAATCCGCGCTCCGTACCCATTCGTGGTACCGATCTCGTCGAAACTGTTCTCTCGCCCTCATGGCTCGTTCTCGTTCTCCTTCTTTCCCATGCGAATGCCCCATTTTTAGGTTAAGTTTCACAGATGCTGCCTCAAAGGATTTTCGTTGCAAACTAATTTTATGATGTAGTTGCGTTGTTACTTGTAACTGAATATTCTAGAAAATGTGTATCGATTTCTTAGAAGAAGCATATAAAACTTTTGAAGAAATTGAATAATGGATGAAATTTGGCATTGAAAATATTAGACTTTTGAATAAAATTTTGAGAAACGTTACTCTTACGATAC